CCTGCTGAAAAGCATACAAACTCAAAACCATCTTGCAGGAATTTGATGGCTATTTCCGAAGTATGCATGCTATACTAGCCTTAGGGATTGGGAGAAGTGGATTCTATCAATTTCAGAGGGATGAAACAGAAAACTGGGGGAAAAACACTACTGAAATTAAACCTCTGAGTGCCAAATAATAAGTTTTATGAACAGAAAAAATGACTTTGGGATTAAATTTTTAGGACAGGTCTCAAAGATAGCATGGGGAAAGTATCTCCAGTAGGTGCCAAAAATAACAGCATCTTGACTGAAAAATCCTAGTCTACTACAGTAAGAAATACTAAAGAACTTCAAACTGAACTACAAAGCTAATGTTTTTGAAGGTCCTAATCTGATGAACAAGGATTAATTTTATGTGTAGCCACATATGCCAAAGAGGTTATAAAAATAATTGTTCTTAGACTGAAATGATTCTATTTGGGTAAAGAAAAATAAGTTTGTATGAGTAGCTGCAGGATCAAACTTTACTAATCACAAACCGGATCAGTTTTTATTAAACTATTGAAAATAAATTATCCTCTTCCCTCCTTCTCCAACAAGCCTCTTGAACTCTGGAGAGAAATGCGTCCTCTGAGAAACAACAGCAAAACTTTCAAAGAAAATAATTTCCCAACAAGTCTCAAAGTCAGCACACTGGGAAGACAGCTACATGACAACTGGAAAAAAAAGTTTCTACCAGGATTACAACAGACATTAAAATTGTGTGCCAAGTTTGGGGAGTTTCACATTTTAATTTTTTCTGAGCATCCGCAATACAATACGAAATTTACTCCACAGAATTGAAAAGCAATATATTTTTGCATTATATTTTAAAATATTATTTAAAGAAAAATAGGACTGAATAGCATCCATCTGTGGAAAATGCCATCTGGAGTTTCTAGGGGAGAAGCCTCTAGTACAGTGGTTCCCAACCCTTTTTTTCCTGCGGAACAGCACAGGAGCAGGACCGGGTGCATGGAGCTGGCTGCCTCCCTCCCGGGGCTGCCCTGCCCCGCAGCTTTAACCCCACAAGCGACTGCCAGCAGCGGAAGCTGCTTGCCCGGGCGGACAGATGGGGGTCTGAACAGGGGGCTTGTGTCACAACCTGGCAGACAACACTTCACAGCCCAGTGACAGGCCATGGCCCGATGGTTGGGAACCTCTGCTCTAGTAGGATTGGCTCAGGGAGATTTTTCCAAACCACTCAAGAAAGCAAGCTTGCACAACCTCCAAAATGAGCAAGATGTTCTCCAGAATCTAGAGAATCCATTTACAACACAGTCATCCCATGCACATGTCCTATGCTTTCACTTCAGCTCCCCAGCCCACGGGTTCCTTTAACTGCACTTCAGAAGTGGTTATAAATACAGCACAGTCTCTGGGTACATTAGCTTTCCTACAAATGAATCAGTGTGTCTGTTTTCAACTTTACCACCTTCCCAGCCCTTCCAGAGGACTACAGTACTTCCCTGTTTACTACCT